TGGACTACCAAAACTACACAAACCCAACATACCTATGCGGCCCATAGTTTCTTTCTGTGGGTCCCCGACCTACCAACTGTCTAAATACTTAACTAACGTACTGAAACCGCTGACTGACGAATCTAGACACAAACTACAGTCTACTGAGAACTTTATTGACTCCACTGAGACAATACAGATACCGGACGACCACAAACTAGTGCCCTTTGACGTGAAATCGCTGTTCACCAGCATTCCACTTCAACTGGCTCTAGACTGTACTGAGAACGCTATTAAGAACTCTACTGTTGAACTACCACTACCTACAGATGACATTATGGACCTACTCAACCTCTGTTTGACTTCGACGTACTTTCAGTACAACGGCAAACACTACAAACAGTTACACGGTACAGCTATGGGCTCTCCAGTTTCTGTTGTTGTAGCAGAAATTGTCATGCAAAACATCAAGGAACAAGCCCTAGCTACCTACACGCGAATTGTACCTCTTTGGTTACGTTACGTTGACGACACATTCACCGCCGTACACAAAGACGGAATCGACGATTTTCACGAACACCTTAACAGACAGAACGCGGACATACAGTTCACCAAGGAGATCGAAGAAAATGGTAAGATACCTTTTCTAGACTGCTTGGTCACTCGCGACAACAGTAAACTAAAAACGACTATTTTCAGAAAACCGACACATACCGACCGATTACTAGACCAGTCTTCGTACGACCCGACCTCTCACAAGGCTACTACTATCCGGACTCTGACGAGACGAGCGCAACTAGTTTGCGACTCACCTGACAGCCTAAAAGACGAGACTGATTATATTAACAACGTTTTTAGCAAGAACAATTACAACACGGACTTTGTTAGACGGAACACTCACAGTAACACTGATTCCAACTCTCAGACCAACTCTGGCCCTGTTACGACAGCGACTATACCGTACATCAGAGGCACCTCTGAAACTATTGCACGTATATTACAACCTTACCATATACGTGTTGCGTACAAAGCGATAACCACTTTACGGCGACTGCTTACTGATGTCAAGGACAAAGACAAACCGCAGGAAAGACAGGGAGCAGTATACAAGATCAAATGCTGCGACTGCCAGGCTTCTTACATTGGTGAAACCGGCAGAAACCTAAGCACGCGACTGACCGAACAAAAACGCGCGACGAGGAATGGTGACGTCAACAATCACATTGCTGAGCACCATTTAAAGACGAAACATCAAATTGACTGGGACTCTGTGACATGTATAACGTATTCTACAGACTACTATCAACGTCTTACTTTAGAAAGCTGGTTTACTAACTTAGAACAAACGCCACTGAATCGTAGCCAACAGTTACCAGCGCCGTACAAACGACTTATTGACGAGATCAAGCAAAACTAACTACGGGAGAACAACTGGAGAACTGACGATTTGACTAACAATAGACGACTGTTTAACTGTGACAATAGGCGGATCGAAACGCACCAATCACTGATTACGAGCCTTCATAGCCAATAACATCACAGCTTAACTGACCGACGACCAATAACATCGCGACATAATTGACCAATCAGATCTATAACCAGAGTATAATACCATCAACTGACGTGATACAACTCACTTTGACCCTGAAGATGACTACCGCACAGGTTGTCGAAACGTCAGTCACTGTCAACAACAACAGTCCTATTCAGGACTACGTTCACGCGGACGATCAAACTCAACCTTTTGGTATTCTTCTTCTTATTATTATTACAGTGTGATACCCCTCAGTGTAGTTGAAAAGTGAATATCCAGAGACATTCAGCAAATAACACAGGAAAAGTGTCAAAAGAAAATTTGTTCGACCGTTCACATTTGCTGTTATGGTGTTATGTTTATTTACATTGTCCATTTATTATTATTATTATTATTATTTTTTAAAAAAGTGGGACCTTTTGAAGTTGTCGATATCTTCAACCAGCGATTATTATCCAGAATTCTTTATCTTATCCCAAAATGATTGCAGTTCTTTAAAATTGAATGTCTAGCCACGGTCTAACGTTGCCGTGAAATAAGACCCCAAGGCACTTTCCGTACCACGCCGCATACTATTTGAACCTCCTCGGCTTTCAGCATGTGTACCATCATATCGATTCTTGGTAGGAGCGTGAAGTTGTAGAGCCAAACTCGGCTTTCGGGTTGTAAATACAGTTTCTGTTTTTAATCCGCTGGAAACACTATGCAATTGTCCCTTTTTTGAACCAAGAAGGCTCAGTTGATGGTCTGTTCACGAGGGGTTAGGGACGTATATCCAAGGAGCAGCCTAAGACTGAAAGAAATGTTTTAGACAGCAGCTAACATCAGGTGCCGGACCCGGCAGATCCGGCTAATATTAATGTCTCCTCAGCCAGTTGTTTTCACTAGTTTATTTAGAACATCATTACTAGCGAACGGCCAAAACTGGGCTGTGGAAACTGGTTATTTGTTTATTAAGAAAAAATCACTAAACAACAAATTTTGTGACAGAAAAAAGGACAATCGCTCGACTCACACACTAAGCGATGATCAGACTGTCAGACTGATAGCTACTGATTTGTTCTTATGGACACCCAAAGTGACCGTATCTATATAGTCGAAGTGTTATCACGCGCTCGAATATTAGGTAGTCTGAAAAGGACAATAAACCATCTTCCATTAATTGGTGGAAAATTCCTTTTAGTTAGTTAGCAACTATTATTGTAATGCAGTTCTTAATGAAGCCAAGACATAAGCTAAAAGCATTGAATTACATGCATTTAGGCTGTTTCAAATAAGATCCAACAAAAGTTGTTTTATTTAATGCTGAGTAATTCTAGCTTGCTTCAATCTTCGCTAGCTCTCTGGTTCTTCGGAGTGTAATTCTTGATAACCTAGCATCTTACTTCTGCAAGATCATAAACACAACTGTTTCATTAACTGAGGCCCGTTTCAAACGTCGTGCTGCTGCCGTGCCGAACTCAATTGATCGAATTAAATTCGACTTTAGCACAGCAGTAGCGCGACGTTTGAAACCAAGTCGTGCTACTGCCGTGTAGGCTTTGCCGTGCTACACGGCAGTAGCTCGACTTGGTTTCAAACGTCGCGCTACTGCCGTGCCGAACTCAATTCATAAATTATAAATACATTAGGATACATTTAAAAGTTTGCTAAACCGTTTCTTTTCTTTTGTCTTTTGTTTTCGGCAACAGCCGTTCTATTCGACTGATTTAAATTCGAAGTCTGAAACCAAGTCGTGCTAGTGTCGTGCTGCAGTAGAGCTACAGTCGAGCCAGCTTAGTACGGCAGTAGTACGACGTTTGAAACAAACCTCACTGTCACAGGTACGTACACGGCCTACAAACAATAACCATAACCAACTAGTCCTCGCGTTTTTGTTCCTGAGCGCCAGAGTGAGAATAGGAATTCGCTTGATTGGCAAATGAGCTCAGTGGCAATCTTACGTTTGGGTTTGGTTTCCACAATATAACCGTTCTGGTCGTCTCGGAGAATGGGAAACCAAAACCATTGCAAATCACACATTTTTATGCTACAAGAAATTTTGAAGTAATTCCTAGATAATTATAAGATGATCAGGTCAAAATACTTTGAAAATTCTACTTTGCATAAAAAAGTCTCTTTTCCCATTTTCATTTCCAATACCACTTTCCATCACATTCCAAGAACACTCACAAGGACAACGAAAAAAAACTACTTTGATTAAGATGCACAAAAAGGAAGGAAGGATAGTACGATTTGCGGGGCACGTAAAGAATATAATCAAATGTAACTGGAATGCAGCTCATTATTGTAGGCAATTTTAAATTTTAAACG